CACACGGTTGAGCCTTTACCCTGTCCTCTTTGATGAAGACCAGCCCCTCAGTAAATACGAGTTTGTGGTTACTAGTGGCAGCCCTCTGGCAGCAGACAGAGGTGAGCCATGCATGTTACATCCAAGCCGTTTTGGGTAGTGTTGCAACACTGTCCAATTTGTAGTTGACGGTCAAAAAGTTGTGTCCCAAATTTTTGAAAAGGAACATACTTTTGTTACTTAGCTGGAAATCATCATCATCATCATCTTTTAATGACCCCATAATCCCTTGCGGGGTGGAGTCTGGGCAACTGAATGGAGATAACTGTTTACTGGCCAGATGCCCTTCCTGTCACCGATGCAGAGTTTTTGTTCAGCAGATATATTCTCAGTGTGCCCAGAGAGAGAGAAATATCTGCCTCTACCTAGGATCGAACTCACAGCCTCCTGATTATGAGATGAGAGCGCCACCTCTAGGTCACCGCACCACTTGTTACCTAGCTGGAAATGGCAGGAGAAAAGATGGATGGGTGTCTCAACAGTGCAGTGCCGATTAAAAAAATAAAAGAAAAATTGGATGATGTTTTAAGTCCTTCTTCCCTTCTGCAGTTGGTCCGACCATCCTGAACAAGATTGAAGCTGCTCTGATGAATCAGAACCTCTCAGTCGATGTGGTGGACCAGTGCCTCATTTGCCTGAAGGAGGAGTGGATGAAGTAAGGTGGACTTTTTGGTGGAGAAGTAGTTGTCTTCTAGAGTATTTCTTGACTATGCTTCCTTGAAGGAAGGGAGGCGTGCTGTGTGATCTTTAGAAATTTCCTTTTTGGAAGAACGGGTCCTGGTTTGCAACTAATGGTTCTCAATTATTATTATTTTTTGCAGTAAAGTGAAGGTCCTCTTTAAGTTCACCAAGGTGGACAGCAGGCCGAAAGAAGATACCCAGAAGTTGTTGAGCATCTTGGGGGCTTCCGAAGAGGATAACGTGAAGCTTCTGAAGTTCTGGATGACGGGCTTGAGCAAGACCTACAAATCACATTTGATGTCCACCGTTCGCAGTCCAACTTCTCTGGAGTCTCGGACTTAGCCAGGAGAACTCTTGGGTTGCCCTTGGGGAACTCTTTGTCGATCCACTCATTTCGTGTGATATGAAGGAGCTCGGATATTGTGTGGCAACGCTGCGTAGACAGACTGAAAAGCAAAGGATGAAGGTCTCTTGGTCAAAAAACTACCCACATCAGGGGTGTCCAGCCTTAGTAACTTTACGACTTTTGGACTTACAGTGCAACATTTAAGTTTTTTCTTTATGTTACCATGAGATTCAGTTTTTTATATTTTTAACTGTACAGCTTCTTGTTCATAAACTCTATAAATCTTTTCTGGCAAGAGAAATAATTCCGAACATACTTTATATGGATTGTTTTTTAAAGGGAGAAAGATTAATAAGAGATCCTAATTTGTTAAGAGTTCTGTGAATGTCAAAATATTTATAACTACTTGTTTTCAGAAAGATTTCTTAAATATTTTATGATTTTTCCTTTATTGTGTAATTCATGTTTGTGGTTGAATTTTTATTTAATCTGTGTGTAAAAATGCACATAATAAAAGTTTTCCTCCGTGGCTTTTAAAAAAATCAAATGATGTTTTAACACATCCTAGGAAGCACAATAAAGTTTGGCTTTCCAAATTTAATTATTTCCACTAAACATTCTAAAAAATACAGGAAACCTAGCCTCTTTCTTCTATGATTGTCACTCATTTTCATTCCTAATCATAGTTACTGTTTTTTTCAACCAAGTTAAAAGGCAGTTAGAGAAGCTGATCTCTCCAATAAAAACTCCAACTCCCACAAGGCCTGGAGAACAAACTTCCGCCTGGGAATGATGGGAGTTGAAGTTTACGCGGAGCAAGAGGGAAGGTCAGGGCGGAGAGCGCATGCGTGGGCCCAAAAAAGTTTTTTTTTGGGGGGGGGAGAGAAACGACGCACGCGCTTTTCCCTCCGAATGGCGCACGCACGCGCGCCTCTCGAGGCGGGACGGTTTAAACGCGCGGCGCAGGCACGCGCGGCCCGAGGAGACGATGTTGCGGGTCGGGGTGGCCTTCGGGCTGGGCGCGGCGTTCGAGGCGCTGCTGGGCTGGCTGCTGAAGCGTCGGCAGGCGTCGTTGTCGACGGCGAGCGAGGTCATCTTCTTCCCCTCGAGGGTGACTTGCACGGAGGAACTGCTGGCCGGGGCGCCCTGCGTGTGCCCGCTGCCGCACGGCGAGAGCGCGCTGGGCCGCCTGCTGGTGCGCGTGCTGGAGGCGCGGCGCTCGCTCGACCTCTGCCTCTTCGCCTTCTCCAGCCCGCAGCTCGGCCGCGCCGTCCTCCTCCTGCACAGCCGCGGCGTCCGCATCCGACTCGTCGTCGACGCCGATTACATGGCGCTACGCGGATCGCAGGTCGGGCTGCTGAGGAGAGCCGGTGAGGGGCGGGGCCGCGGCGCCATGGGCGGGGCCGCAGTGACCAATGAGTGACCAATGAGGGGCCAAAAAGGAAAGTTCGGATCGAACCATCGCGCGTTCCAAGCGGGGGGGGGGACGACGGACAAAATCAGGGCGGGGAGATGGACGGGTCTGGTGGAATTCTGGGAGTTGAAGTCCATTTCAATGGGACAAAGGTTGAGAACTGCACCTTTAAGCCAAGCGTTTCCAACCATGGCAACTGGATTTCAACTCCCATAATTCCTCCTGTCGTGGATGGCTGGGGAATTCTGGGAGTTGAAGTCCCCAGGTCTTAAAGTTGCCCAATTTGGAGACGCCTGCTTTAGGATATTGTGGGGAGAGGGCACACATCTGGTATCTTGGGGGGGGGGGAGGCAAGGAGGAGGAGAGGAACACAACCAGAAATAGAACCAACCAACCATCCAGAGAGAGAAAATAGGAACGAACCATTGGGAGGAAAGGTGGAGAAGCCAGCGGCAAGATGGGTGGAGGAGTTGGAGTCCTGGGTTTACCTTGGAACGGAAAGTGGGCAAGGAGAGAGACGCATTGAGTGAATTTGGGGGGGTGGAGAGGGTTGATTGGGTTTATTTACCCCAAACCTTTCCATGCGAAGGCTGAAGGGCAGGCAAAAGGATTCAAACCCCAAACCCTACATCTGAACGCATGCCTGGGTTTATGACATTTCCATTTCAAGCCATAAAGGAGAAGGCAATCCAGCGTTGGCTTAACCTCCCTGCCCAACAAGCCCTAAGGAGCATTCAAGTCTTGAGGGGTGGTATCTAAACGTGAATGCGGTCAAAAGCGTCGAAAAGGGTTATTTTGTGCCCTTGGGGAGAGGGAAACCAGGAGTGGGTCAAGGGCATGAGGCTCTCCCCGCTGACTTTGAGCCCTTCTGGGCATCACTGCAAGGCCACCACAGCCCCTGGCATCCCGGTGGCCTTTCTTTGGCCTCGCCGGGCTGTGGCTGAAGAGAAAGGTAAAAATAAGCAATGAGACGGAAAAGGATACATGGTGGAAGAAGAAAAGGGGGAGATTTGGGCTAAGGCAAGTGGATTGAGGATAAAAGGGAGTGATAAAAGACTGAAAGATGAGGTGGTTTGGTCGTAAAGATACCTACCCATCAGCATAAATTATATAAGGTTGTGAAGTTTGTACGCCACTCATCTTGTCATCAGGGGACTCTCCCAAACCTAGTTGAGCAACCAGCCAGATCCTTGGTGTTGATGGGGTTTTCTCTTCTGTCTAAGGGATTTCGGTACGCCACGATCAGGACAAGGGCTACATGCACCATAAGTTTGCCATCGTGGACAAGAAGGTGCTGATCACGGGCTCTTTGAACTGGACCACCCAAGCCATCCAGACCAACCAAGAGAACGTCTTGGTGGTGGAAGACCAGGCCTTGGTGAACATTTTTCTTGAAGAATTTGAAAAGATTTGGGAAAACTACAATCCTGCCAATTATACATTTTTTTCTAAACATGAGGAAACTGGGATTGAAAATGCCTAAGAGTTAATTCTGGGACATAAATATAGCATGGCAAAAAAAAAAAAAAACCCAAAACCATTTGGGAGCATTTAGTTCAAAATTTCTTGTGTTATTTGAGAACGACATAATTATCTTAAAAGATAAGCAGCAAATCGGGAAATACACAAGCAGTGTACTCTTTAGGTGTTCAGTAAGTTTACTTTCCAAGGAATAGAACTTGAGATAGGCTTTATTGAGAAGACATATAAAGCTGAATTATTGCACAACTGAATACAACAATGAAATTGTCCAGTGATCTTTAGAAGCATATTCTGCACTGAAAGAGAGAAAAGGCTCAGGAAGGCCTAAGAACAACTGTCTGATTTTATTTTCCAAGAGAGTAATGAATTTCTGTAATGCATTGATTTGATTTGAACCCTGGAACATATGAACTTGGCAGCAGAAAGTGGAGAGGGGCAGAACCATCGCCCTGCAGGTTGTATTGCACTAAGAGGCAACATCCAGCCATGAGTTTGATCCCAGTTTAAATATTTCTCTGTGTCAAAGGAAATTAGGACTGGTTGGATTTAACTCCTCCTGTTAACTGTATTACCAATGAGAAAGATTGCAAGAGAATTCCTGGAAGAAATGGAGGTAACTATTAATGCATGAACACCTTGAATATATTGTCAGGTCTTGTTTGTGTATTTTTTTTTCCAATGATTAAAGCTGTACTTCCAGAGAGCAAGTGTGAATAGAATTGTAATATTTTGGGACTCTCTTAACACCTGAGTTATGAAATAGCTACCCTTACCTTTAAGAGGCTCTGGAGTCGGGCAGTTTAATCAATATTTTTATTTTTGCTATTTCCATTTCTCTTTTTTTTTTTTTTGGCATGCTTGGAACAGTTCAGCAACTTATACTCAGTTACACTTATTAGCAATTGTTCCATTTATGGGGAAGCCAGAATCGTGACCCATGACTTGTAATAAAATCACATTTAAGTAGTTCATTTTGAAGGCCGCGTCATCTCCATCTGCCCAAAAAAACCTTCATTACAGCATACCAAGGGTGGTGCAAAAATAGTTTATTACGATATAATTTTATGTATAGTTAAGTAATTATATTTACAAAATCATCAGCTACATCCATGGGAACCCTAGCATGTCACACAAGGTTTGTAAGGAATAAATACTGTGACCAAAGTGGTGCTTCTACCCGCTGAAGGGGGAACTGGCTCCCTTAAAAGCATGAAAAGACGCCATTCAGAATCTCACTAGATCCAAAACACATTCGTTGAGAAAAAGAGAAGATTCGTTCTCTGCTGGGACTTCCACCAGTCCTCTTTGCTGGAGTGGACAGCTAATTCACAGGGTCCACCTGGTCTCCAATTGGGCTCACCTTCTTACACCCTAAATTTTGCTGGAAGGTTTGGATTATAGCAGCGTTTCTCAACTGTGGTAACTTTTAAGATGGGTGGACCGACTCCTAGAATTCTTAGCAAGGTTGAGAAAGACTGAATTAATGATTCCTACACTCAGTTCTCAGAAGCCCTGGTGATCCAATCAGGTCAATTTGGCGATGAAACTCACACGGGACTTAAGGCAGACACAGACACGGTGACCTCAAGACACTTTTCTGAAGTAAGGCGCTCATGAGTAGCCCCTGACGTCCTTGTGCACAGCCTCCCACGCCCTCTCCTCCAGCCACAAGTTCATGGGGTAGGAACTGGTTGGCAGCTCAGCGACCGAGCTAGACATTTATATATGGTTGTTTCTTACACTGAAAGTAGCGGTGGTGTTACTCCATTGAAAGGGAAATGGCACCTAATTCTCACCACCCAGATGGACCTCCACTGTTAACAGCAAGTCGTATTGACTGATGTGGAGTTATGGCATAGCTAATTCTATGGCAAACCCAAGATTTTTCCCTTAGGTACTTTAGGAATATTTCACGGCTCTTGCGGTCAGTCATGGGCTCACATTCTATCAGCAAGGGTATATTTTTTTCCCTCTGAGGCTCCATTGTGGTGTATGATAGCACAACTTTAAAGGCAGCTATCAAAACTACAGCAGCTGCGTTCTGCCATGCTGTGACCACAGTATAGAATAGCATAATTCAAATTTATGGACGGTGAGAGGCAGCATTACTTAATTTCTTTGGAAAACCGCTTGGTTTAAATCTGCTACAGGGTGAACGTGCGAGAATGTGGTGTATCTTTGATGACTTAAGAGACGCTACTATCACCATTGCTCAGTGAACATGCAGTGAATCTTCAATTTATTGGACCTGTTGATCAGCTTTCGAATGCACCAGACAAAAAAATCCATCGGCCGCTCTAGGTATACATACAATCCTATTCATTATTTAATGGACATTCAGGTCTAACAAATGCCTTTCCTACGAGTCCATTAAACTGAGTTTACTGCAACATAACTGCATAGCCCGGGCTATTTGCGTCGCTGTCTGTTACAAGCTTGCTGAGGTGAACGAGGAAGAAAACTACTGTATAGCCATTAAGTTTTAAAACACTGTACATATTTTTCTTTGGAGAGGCATTTCCAAAACTAAAAAGGATCAGAGAAATTTAAAAATATATTTATAGCATTCAAACAAACCAACCAACATTCTGTAAGGGAACAAAGCAGGATTTCGGTTACACTAATTTCCTTTTCCCAAATCCAAAGGAAATCTGTATTAGAACAAGATTAAAAAAGAAAGTCATCCCATAAAACCCTCCGCGAGTTTTTGCATAATAAATATTTACATGGCGTGCTTTGAATACTATACAGGTCTTAAATTATTTTTAGAGAATAACAAAGCTTTAAAAAAATGGGGGGGAGGGGGGGGAATACAAAGGAAAGAGAAGCGTGCGTGTGCTCAAAGTGTTCACAACAAAGTACTGCCTATGAAATGGAGAAAAAAAAAAGTCCAGTGGGATTCTAATCAAGTATATTGTCATTACAAAAAGCAACGTTTCCCCCGCCCCCCAAAACACCACACAGGGCTGCTTGAAGGCAGCCTCTGTCATAGGAAAAACAGCCTGCTCGGATCAGCACAAGTGGTCCTCCTTTTATTTCTTAGCAGGACAAAAGGAAAGCAAAATGTCGTTAAGAAAAGACAAAAGAGTCCTGCTTTGAAACAAGGGAAGAAGAAGAAAAAAGTGTCAAGATCGGCCGTGGACAACATCCCCAAAGCTGTATTTCCGGTGTGTTTGCACGGTGGTACATCCAACCAGTGCCAAACCTCCCATCAAGAATACACATTTCAACCCCCAAAGGACAGAACTGGATGAAAAGGCAGCAACCTCCCTCCAAACACGCCTTTTTAAGAGCCGTGAAAGAAATATGGCTCTTTCCCAAACACCCCACTGGCTTGGTTGCGTAGGGACAGCCCCCTTTCGCTCGCAGCAGTAAAGTCAAGTTTTGTGTGAATGGAGGTGGGGTGGCCCTGCCCGGCTTTCAAACATGTCTGAAGGGTCCATCTCGGAATTGGGACGTTCTTGAGAAAGGGACGGGATGAGCTGCAGGGGTTTTTCCCCAGAGACCCTTGGTTTGTCTGCCGACAGACAGCTATCGAGTTGCAGGAAGATCGCGCAAGGAAAATTAAATTCTTCTGCCCTGATGTTTCCCACTTGGCAACTTTGAAGTTGTCCTGGATTCCAACTCCCAGAACCCCCCAGCCAGCACAGCATAGAATTCTCAGAGTTGAACTCCAGATATTTTCAAAACGCCAAGGGTGAGAAGCCCTGTTCTCCGGACATCTGTGTGAAGGAGAGAGGAAAACTGAGGCCTGCAAGACCATTTCGGAGGCAGATGCCACCACCGCCTTCTCCTTCAGCCACCTGAGATGCCCTCCATATGCCAACGTTCACACACCAATCCTAGCAATTGCTCTGGGGCTGCCATACCGACTTTGAAGCACACTTCTAGACCCTCAACCAACAATTTGCAGGCGGATAGGGAAAACTGCTCAGATTTAGGAGATGTCTTTAAGAAGAAAAGCCTAACCTCTAAAGTCTCCTTCGTCCTAGCCATTCAGGGCAGCTACGTTTTGCAGACTACTACTGTTGTGGCACCAGAAATCCATACATTCTCCTCTATCCAGCTGCCTTTAAGGTAGTGCATACTAAGGTATCCTTTTGCTTCAGGTCTACCTCTAGAGACAGGTGATCCCATAAGGTGTTTTTGCTTTGGAACAACGTATTTCACTGCTAGGTGTCCAAAGATTCTAAAAGCTGCATGCAGAGAAAATGGACCGACCCCAGCTGAGATTAGCAAGACTTCACACAGTTGGGTTTGTCCCCAAAGTTAAAGATGGTTGCAGCAGAAACTCAACCCAGTAAAAGCAAAAACTCCAATCTTGAGGGACCTCAAATTTGTAGAACTGGGCCGGAGCACCCGAATTATCTGCAATGTTGGGAAGACAGAAATGAAGCTTGTTCATAATGCTGATGATCGGTTAATCTTGAAATTTTAAGCACCCACTTCCAAGGTGTTCTGTTCGTTGGGGTTGGCAAAAACATTTTAATCCACCCCAGGGCCTCTCTTCGGGAAAGCTGTGTACTTTCGGGATCCCAGTGCATCAAGAAATATATCACATTTTTGGGGTGGGCCCAAGAAAGTCGTTTAGACCTGCTTCATTTCAAGTGGATAAAAGCACTAAAGGTGCTTTGAGATCATGGTTAATCTGGTCTTTTTTTTAAAGGCCACTTTTAACTGGGCTTAGCTCCCAACCCGTTTTCAGGGTTGTGTTCCTTTGCAATGGAATATCCCTCACACAGGCAGTGCCGAAATTTACAGACGACACCTTTGCTACTGTTGTTAGGTCTGTTAAATCAAATTTCCCAATCCCTTCGCTGCGTGGGAAGCTCCCCTCTCTCACAAGCCCTTTCTTCTTTTTTGTATCACTGTTGCATGGTGAAATTGGGCCCAAACAGATTCTCAAAGACAGATATAACCCATTTTTTCTTTTCTTTAAAAGTCACCTTTAAGAAACGAGGGTGTGCACTTTAGGATAAAACCTGGTTTCTCGGCCCTCATCAGACGAGAGAAATGTCCTGAAATCTCTGGGATGGATGCCCCAAACACACTGAAATTAGGAGAAAAGGTGAACCCAACTGGAAGAGGAGAACGGTTGCGAGCGGTTTTAAGGGCTATGTTTTTCCAAGATCCTGGCTAAGGTGGAATCTGCCACCCCCTTAACCATGGCTCTAAACTGGCTTAGTAAAATAAATTCAGAAGATTGCTAAACTACACAAAAGGACTGAATCTCTGCAAACCACACAATAGATCAAGGACAGCTCAGACTCTTTTCTTTCCCCCTTGTTGTGTTTCCCGACCGTCCAGGGGAGCATTGGGGAGCTTGCTTGGCCAAGCTGAGTTTGTTTCAGAGTGGCTCAATATATGCGCCTAAGTGCTGTGTTACTCTTCAACACTGGTGGAGCTAAGCTGGAGGTGCGTCCTCCCTCCCCCTTTCCCAGGGCCCTGTTGTGATACCAACACATCAGTAAAACAGGGCTAGCTTATAATAGGCTGTTGAGCCTTAATACTGACACTCAAATGTAGTGGATATACACACTAGGAAGGAGATAAATATATTTAAGGGAGGAAAAACATCCATCTCTCCCTGCATTCTTGCCCAAAGTAAGGACTTTTTCATTCAGGACATGTCAAGGAACCTGTTTAATCTGGTATTTCTCAACCTCATCGAGTTTAAGATGCTTGGACTTCTACTCCCAGAATTCCCCATGCTGGCTGGGGAATTCTGGGAGCAGAAGTCCATGTATCTTAAACTGGCTAAGACTGAGAAACAATGATTTCATCCCTTTGGTGACAGACAGAAAAAAAATGTCTGGAATTGCTCGGTCTGTTCATCTGTGGAGCGGCTCTAGAAAAAATCCTGCCTCCTGGCCAAGCGAAGCGAAGTCATAAGAAAAGATGGGAGTCGGGGGAGAAGAAGGATGCTCATGTCGGGATGCGTCAAGAAAGGCGGTGCACGTGGCCAAGCCGGAAACGAAGGAGAACATTAGTCTTTCTTCAACTCCTTGGATTCGAAGAGCTTCAGGCGCTCCTGCACCGTCAGGCCTTCCTTCAGACTCTGGAGGGGAGAGAGAAGGGAAAAAAAAAGCAAACCATGAAAGTCCGCTCTGGTGGAATGGACCAAATCCAACATGGAAATGTTCAGGCAGAGGAGATAAAATAGCGAGAGACAAATCCTCAGGTTTACCATCATGCGGAAGAAAGAAAAAGCATCATTATGGAGAAGGGTTACTGGAGAATCGGTACCCGATTGGAGGAAGCGCGAGGTGACCACAGGCGCAGCTAACTGGAGGGACCGCCTAGAGATTCTCTGAAGTATCTCCAGATGCCTTCAGCAACACAAGACCTACAAAGTTGTCCTTTCCCTAGAACGTATTTGCTCCAAGACCATTTCCTAATGTCACTATGGGGCAATACATTAACACCTCATAAAAGATGCCGTCTCTGGTAGAACTGGGGTTACAGAAGGAAGATCTAGATTTTTTTTACCCCTGGCTTCTTAACTGGTGGGAAGAGCAGAATGTCACACCTCTGTTATGAATCAGAGAAGAGCAGGATTTGATTGCACGAGGTCAAAACAAAGCATTCCAATTCTATGTGTCAATGAAGACAGAGAAAAATTAGAAAAAAAAAACTATATAGATGGTTTTTCTTCAAGTTTTCCCCATTTCTTGCACCTTTTTCTTGCTTGCTTTTTTTCTTCCTTACTTCGTATTAGTTGGTGTTATTAGTTTAATTATATATAAAATTTTATATTGTATTAAATATATGAACACACACACACACACCAATATAGATGCAAATGATTTGGGCCACCATATCTAATGGGTGAAATAACTTCTAACTGCAAAACACTACCAATAGCAACAGCATTAGCAGTTACACTTATATACCGCTTCACAGTGCTTTACAGCCCTCTCTGATTGGTTTACAGAGTCAGCCTCTTGCCCCCAACAATCCGGGTCCTCCTTTTACCGACCTCGGAAGGATGGAAGGCTGAGTCGACCTTGAGTCGGTCAGGATCGAATTGCTGGCAGTAAACAGAGTTGCCTGCAATACTGCCTTCTAACCACAGTGCCACCAAACTGTCTTATTAGTTGAGATGAACCAGCATCCAAAACTAGGGACCTCAGCACATGATCCTTCCCTTGTAAATGCGTGCCTCCTGAAGAGTGGTCAGCAGAAGCATGCACAGTCAATCCAACATGCAGGCATCTCCTCATGCTCCACAGAGCTCCCCATGGGTCAGCCGAGATGGCAAGGAAAACTTGTGATGGATGTCAGCGAAGACAGGATGAGACAGAAGGGTGGATGCAGCCACTGATCGGGCGTGATGAGTCTACCCCACCCAAGCCCCATGGCTTCTGGGGAGTGGGGTGGTGGGTGGCGGAAAGAACCTTATTAGCTATGGAAACATCAGTAGAACATGCATTTAAGTGCACTGCAACCTCCAGAAGCAGCATCGTTTGAACCGGTGGGGTGGTTGGATTACCTACATGGCAGGGACCCTGGAACCTGCTGCATTTCTCAGTTATCCCATGAAGCCTGCTCAATTACGGACTGTTCTCCGAAGCGAAGACAAAGAACAAAAAAAAGAAAGACAAATGGCTCCATAAATTAACAAAACCATTTAAAAAAAAATCCCTCATAATAATTAAAAATACAGATCCGTCATAAAGAGACGCTGCACCAGAAGGAAATTAAACTAGGTCTTCCGGTGCAAGAAGAAGTGGCACACAGAGAATGGCGCAGGATATCATCCAAACTAATGTGAACTTAATAAATGATAGAATTTTGCTAGGGTTCAGAAGCTTACAAAGAGGGAGGTTTTAACTCAGGGCTGGCTTTCTTTTCCTAATGCCACATGTGTGCCAACATGCAAGGAGAGACGAGTGGACCAGAATGGGCTAAGGAACTAAAGGATGAAGAGGTCTCCTCTTGTGGACTATTGGAAACTATGTTCCCTTAAAGCAATGTTTGTCAAACTTGCCAACTTTAAGACAAGTGACTTTCACATGGCTGTCTGGGGAATTCTGGGAGTTGAAGTCCACATGTCTTAAGGTTGCACATTTTGAGAAACGATGTCCTAAGATCTCATGCTTTAAATGTACTGCTTATAATTCAAAGCACCAAAGAATGAACGTTCTCCTTATCTACATGTTCTCATCACGCTTATGAAAGAGAATGGCTTCTGCTTTCTTCTGGGTTGGCTTCTCAGGTGGATCCCTCCATCCAAGTATTCTCCAGGGCCTTCCCAGTTTAGCCCACAGCTAAGTTTGGTTGGATGTTGCTACCTGGTGCAGAATCACCCATCGATAGGACAACTACTAAGATGTTGCACATCTAACCATGTTTTCCAGGGAAAATGGAAAGACCACATCAACTCACCTTTGACCTGATATTTCTTAGTTGCCGGCCAATGCTGGTCCTGTCCTTCTTCAAGAAATCAGGATTGCTTTTTGATTTCATAATATCTAGGTAGATAAGAAAGAAGGGAAGTCAATATAGTTCTTTTGAAAACCGGCAGGTCATAGTTTTCCAAACAGAGTTAAAAGAAAGTCACTATCTGAGCTTCTTTTTCCTCAAGGCAACAACACTCCAAAATACATATCCCTCCCTCAAGAAATCCAATTTTACCACTAATTCTAACGCCAGGTTCCTTCAACCCACCAAGTCCAACTCAAGTAGATATCTAAGAGTGGTCTTTGCAACAATGAATGTGCACCAACTTTTTTTTCCAGGAAAACGCGCCCAAGATCATCGGATCCCACCCATCCTTTGATTCAGCAACCTGAAACATAAAATGACGAAGCAGCGAACCTACCGTATCCGGACACGGTGCTGCTCTCGGGAGATTTTTCCCCCAGGGCTTCGGTGGCTGCCTTCAGCTGTTCTTTCAATCTGCTGATGTCGCAGTCTGCCTTGGCTTTGACGATGCTGAGCTCCGTGTAGATGTCCTTGTATTTATCACTGGCATATTTTTTATCCTGGAGAAAAAAAGACAAAAGACAACAGGAGTTGAGATCTTTCGGTTTCCTTGGGCCACCCAAGAGACAACTAGGATTACTAGTAACTTCAACTGCCATTAGCTCAATGTGTTTATCACTTTTCCCAAGATCTCACTAAAACAGGGGTCTCCAACCTTGGCAACTTTTAAGACTTTAAGCTTTTCTGGCTGAGGAATTCTGGGAGTTGAAGTCCACAAGTTGCCAAGGTTGGAGACCCCTGCACTAAAACAAATAGTTTGTTCGTCATCTCCACTAAAATTCTCAAGGTGTCCCTTTGTTGCCTAGTTCTTCTTCATCCTCCGGATTCCTCCCATCTCAGGCCATCCCCTGAAGCAGCAGTCCAACCTTGGCGACTTGGAATTGACTTCAATTCCCAGAATTCCCCAGCCAGCCATGTTAGCTGGGGAATTCTGGGAGCTGAAGTCCATCTATCTAAAAGTTGCCAAGGTTGGACATTCCTGACCTAAAACAAACTTCTAAAGATGACTGCTCTGCCTAGCTCAAAGTGTACAAACGAGGAGGTTTAAATCACTTGTTCACAGCCTCAAGGTGATGCCCGCTTCTCAATTCTTCTTACCCTCAGTGCTGTTTGCAATTCATCTTTCAAAGAGCTGATCTCTTGCTTCAAGTACTGGATTTCTGATTCCTTAACTCTCAACAGGACCTGCAAGGAAGAAAGCCAAGGAGATACACCTTTTAGAAAACGAATATCAAAATAAAATATAAAGATGGGAGAGAGGGACGGAGGAAAGGATTTTAAAACAAAGGGAAAAAAAGAAAGAGAGAAAAGAGGAATGGAGAGAAGGAAGGAAGGAAGGAAGGAAGGAAGGAAGGAAGGAAGGAAGGAAGGAAGGGATTTCTGAGCTTTTCAACAATTACAAACAAGCTCACCTCTAACTCATAGGCATCCTTGCCTTGGGTGAGAGGAGAGGCGGCCATTTCCATGCCACCCTCCCCAGTTAGCAATGTCCGTAGTCGAGTGATCTCTGCAGCCAGACGGTTGTTTAGCTCCTACAAGGAAATCACAAATGCAGGATTGTTCAGAATAAATATAATTCTATTTATAGAATTATAGCACACCACCATTCTATCGTCCGATACAGGAAACCTTCACATCAATTTTTGCAGAACACAGGAATCTGTCACTTTATCGTGCATGCAGAGTGAATCAATGTGTATATCATCACATCCCCCCCCCCCAAAAAAAAAACAAACAGGACCTCTTGAGCATGGCAAACTGGGGAATTCTGGGAGTTGCAGGTCCGCTCAAAGTGGCTCAAAGTGTTTGAAAAACCCCGCTCAAGAGCCCGACTGTGTCAGACCGCAGGAAGGCTTCACCTGATTGTGCGCGTTGAGTTCCTGGTTCTCCCTCTGGCATTGCCGGAGGGCCTGCCTCTCCGCCTCCAAAGCCTGGGCCAGGTGAGCGTTTTCCAAGCACTTCTGCGAATATTGTTCGGAAAGGACTTCCAGTTCCCGCTGGACAGATTGCAACTCCTCCCTGAGGGCAGGACAAAGGAGGAAGTGGGTTGGACTTTGAAGGGCCATTCAGGAACCACCTTGGCAGGTGAGGAAGAAGGAGGAGGAGGAGGAGGAGGAGGAGGCAGAAACCGCACCCGTGTGATGTGAGAAGATGAGAACTTTCAAGTTCTGATTCCTCCTAGATCTTCCAGGGACCTATTGCCTTCACTCAGCCCTTAAAAACAAAATCTTTCCCAATCCAAGCATGCTTGTTTTCGATCACAAGCAAAACCCAAAATCATTTCTCCCTTCCAAAAATGTAGACCAAATAGCTTTTAGTGGCCTGAGTTAAAGTCTGTCTGAAATCAATCTTTCTTTCTTTCTTTCTTTCTTTCTTTCTTTCTTTCTTTCTTTCTTTTTTTTTTCATTCCTTCCTTCCTTTTCTTTATCTTTCTCTCTCTTTTCATCTCTCTCTCTTTCTAAATGGATGAAGAGAGTAGAAAACTGGGACAGTCATATGTGTAAGACCTGCCCCCTTGAGAAAAGCCTTAAGTGATTTTTCCCAAAAATTATCTGCAAAGTTCTAAAAACTGAGCTTGGTCCAAATCAGACATGAGGATTTCATTTCTGCTAAAGCACAAATCTATAAATTCAGTTTAGGTCATTTTTTGGGTGCATCTGCAAGAATAAATCTGTTTATTACCCTTCCGTGACCTCCTCAAAATAAATTATGTGTGTGTGTGTGTGTTTGTGTGCGCATGCACACACACATATTTGCAGAAAATATGTTACAGCCAAAGGCTTATGGAGCAGCTCATAAATAAAAACAAAATGTACTACAGATAGAAGAATGTTGGAGTCTAAGAAACGGAGAAGATAAATGAGGCATTAGCAGTTCGTATGGACAGCGATGCTCCCTACCTGGATAGCTGTAGAAGACAGGGAAAATTAAATGGAGTTGGTGTTTTGTGTGTGCATGGGAGTGTGTTTGCGTGCTCAGATAATAATCATAGGGTGCAGACAAACTCAGAAACAGCCCAAATGCCAGCCAAGCACAACGGAACCCAACTGATGTGGCCCCAGACAGCAAAACACACGGGACAAGAGCATCTCTTACAAGTATTGTCTCTGCAAGGCTTCAATGTCTGAATTGATGCTGCTAATTTGGGAGCGGTGGGTTTTTTCCAGCTCCCGTTCAAGTTCTTCCCGGTGAGCGTTCTTCATGGCTTCGATGGCTGGAAAGGAAAAGAAAGGAGGGATTACAGGAAATCCTTGATTTATAACCGCAAGGGAGCCCAGAATTATGGTTCTTAAATTATTGCAGTGGTAAGTCGGGGCACCATGAGGCCGGATCAGATTTTAAGGCGTTGTGTATTTTTTTGCAGCTGTCATTAAGTGAACACCGTGGCCTTGTTTTTGCCAGAAATTGGAAGTAAACACTGGAAACCAGCAAATCATGGCCACAGAGTGTGTGTGTGTGTGTATTTGTCTGTGTGTGTCTGTCATAACTCTGAAAAGGGGTCATATGTAGCTCTGGGGAAGTCCATCATAACTCTGAGCAGTGGTTAAGCAACTGGTAGTTAAGCTGAGGACTACCGACATGCAGTTGTCGGAAAAACACACCTGCCTTCTCTTCTTCCCTTGGACCTACCGGAGATCGTGGCGGCCGTTTCCTCGGCCAGCAAACGGTCTTTCTCCTCTCTCAGCTTCTCCAGTTCTCGGTGATGCTGCCTCTGCAAGTCCTCGATCTTCTTCTGGTGGGTCTCTTCCATGGCTGCAAACCCCCGTTCACATGTTGCCTTCAAGAAAGCCAGAAAGGAGGATTGCATTGGCACAGTTGCCCCAGCCCATTAAAACACACACACACACACACACACACACACAACTTCTTCCCGTAACGATATAGGCAGGGTCTGGAGAAGAAAAGGGGCCAACGAGAAGACTCGTCCCTGAAGGAACAACCTTGTAGTGAAAGACAGACCAGTTCCTAGCTAGGTTAGAACATCTAGCATTCTCCACCACCACTACCAATCTTTACCATAATGGAAGAAGCACTGCAAAAGCTTTAAGGAAGTATTATTTTAGGATCCCTTGTAAAGGTTCTAAAAGGAGGTGGGCATTCAAACTTGGGGAGGGAAAACCCCCCCCACTGTTGCAGGGACTAACAATTCTAATCCTAGCTTGCAAGCTCTACTCAGTCCTTTTTCCTCCCTTGTCTATCAGGAGTAGGACTTCACATGAGTAAAGATTCCCTAAACCATACCTGTCCCAATAGCAATAGCACTTAGACTTATATACCGCTTTATAGTCCTTTTACGGCCCTCTCTAAGCAGTTTACAGAGTCATCCTCTTGCCCCCAACAATCTGGGTCCTCGTTTTACCGACCTCGGAAGGATGGAAGGCTGAGTCAACCTTGAGCTGGTCAGGATTGAACTCCTGGCCGTGGGCAGAGTCAGCCTGCAGTGCTGCTTTCTAAACACCGGGCCACCACAGCTCCTAATGCTACTTTTTATTCATAACCAGGAATCCACCACAGCCCATTGTTCAACCTATGTGTGGTGTGAATAACAAAGAGCCTCGCTTCCCAAGGCTAGGCTGCTGTGTTGTAATTATGAAAGGGGGAAAACGACAAGTGATCTCTTTAGGGTGTGTAAATTACTGCAAATCGGAGGAATGTCGCCATGTTCCACCTCTTTACACCCGAGTGAGTTTGCAAGGAGGGAACATTATAAGAGCATGTTTCTCAAATGAGAATCCTTACTGGGAAATCGGCTCTTTTTCCTAATTTGATGGGCAATGAATGGATGTAGTGGGGGAGATTTTAAGCAGAAGCAACGATGCTGATCCAGTTAGATGTTTTTAGACATGGTGAGTAAATGGTGAGGAACAACAAGCACCCTGTTCCATGGTGAAAGGGGAAAAAAAGACAAGGGGCTTCTTTAGGGCGTGCAATTATTACAAATGAGAGAAAGGTTACCCAGGTCCCATCTCTTTCCTCACCGTCTAACGGAGGGAGGGGGAGATAGGGCAGATTTTCTAGGGGCAGGAAACCCCTGCCCACCCCCATTAGGAAGATCAAGTCACCAGGCGGTCCAACTGAATCAAAGGAGATCTTCTGAAGGTTGGAGGGCAGCGTGACAGGAAAGCTCCAGTTTAAGGTAACACCCACCCAACCTTTTCACTTCAGCCAAATGGAGTCTAGAGTCTTAACTCTCCTAGGAGATCCGGCTGGGGAAGATCAGACTGATATTCAGAGGAATCTGCAGTTGTACAGCCCCTCTACTGCGGGGGCCGTGTACGCTAGGTCAGCTCAAGGGAGCAACCAGGAGGAGACTGAATGCTTCATCCAGGCCCCCTCCTGGACTGGATCTCTCTGACTGCACAAGAGCTACAGAGAGTTACAGCGATCCATCAAGACCTAGTTTATGTACTAGTTTATCTGGTTTACTATCTGTGACCCTCAATTTGGTGGGTGTTATCTTCTTAAACTGGAGCTTTCCTGGCACGCTGCCTTCCAGCCCTCTTAATCTTCAGAAGGTCTCCTTTGATTAAGTTGGACCTCCCGGTGACTTGAACTTCATAATGTCGAGAAAATGATGTCAGCACTGGGAAAAAAAATGGCCAGTTTGTTCCCTAAAGGTCAAGGGATTTGCCTAATCCCAAGGACTCGCATTCTAGTTTAAGTGCGTCCAAGGCCCTAGGAGGCTAAACTGATGCCACGGTTGGTATTTTAAAAATGCGAAACGCCTTGAGAAAGCGTCTACCGCTGGATTCTACCCGCAGCCCAGCTGGTTAATCAGCATGCTTGCTCTTAACAAGGGAGGGGAGGGAGGTCAGACTACATGACCGTGAGGTAGCAAGATTAAGACGAACAAACAAAGACCTTAAGGTTCTCAAAGTCCTTCTGGTATTTCTCCCTCAAGGTGGGCGCGTTCCCTTCCAGCTGCTTGTTCTCCAGCTCATCTCTCATGACATTCATCTGGGATTCCAGTTCTTGAATCCGCTCTCTCAATCCGTGGAGGGCATTGGGATCATTCCCCAAGCCCTGGATCCTGTTGTCGTGTTGGTCTTCTCCGGGGGCTTCTGCGCTGGAGATGATCCTGGCCGTGGCTTCAGGAGGCTTCTTCTGATACTTCTCCAGCGATTCTTCCAAGCTCTTGAGATTCTGGTTGTAGCGTTCCTGCAAGATCTGCAGTTCCTCATCGTGGAGGACCTGGATTTCTTTCATCTTGACCTGGAACTTTTCTTCTAAGCTTTGCATCTGCTCCAGATGGTATCTCTCCAGGTTCTCCTTATCTTGCACGAAGGCCTCCAGCTGGTGGCTCCCCTCAATTCGTTCCACCTGCAAGGTGTCCTCGGTCCTATGGAGCTGCTCAACCACCTTCTGCATCTCCTTGTCATATTGGCTCTGAAGTTCGGCTATTTTTTGGCTCTGCTTATGTTCCTCCTCTTCCAGGAGCCTCCGCTGGTTGTCCAACTGCTCCACCTTGGCTCTGAGGTCTTCGTTCTCTCTTTTGAGCATGGCAATCATATCGGCAAACTCGTTCTGCTGTTTCTGCAGCAACAGTTCATACTCTTCTCTGAGGACCGTGACTGCCTGTATGCGCTCCTGGCACAAGGCGTCCATGTTTTGCAGAGACTCTTTGTACACCTTGGCTTCCTTTGTGTACTCCAGCCTTGCTCTGAAGGCCCCGTAACACACCTGGGCCTGAATAATCGCATCCTGAACGAGCAGAGAAGAGTAGCGTTCAAGATCCCCCATGCACATCTCGTAAGGAGGACTGCGGGAGATTTTGAGGAGCTTCTGACAATCTTTTAAGGCGTCGTCAGGGGACATGGAGAGAAGGGCAGCCGCAATCTCTTTCAGAACGTTGGCTTTGTCTTTGAGCTGCTGAGCCAGATCATCCTGGACAGCTGCCAGGGCTTGACTGCTGAGATCCTGTATGCTCTGAGCTTCCAAAATGCGGTCCTGAAGGCTGACGTGCCAGGTCGTTCGGGATGCTTCCGAAATGCCTTCTTGGATCTCAAGAGCTTTGGAGATCTGGTGCATGATGCCATCAAATTCGGGAGACTTGTAGGCTTTAATGATTTCTTCCAACATGCACTTATGCTGCTGGAGGGCTGTTTTGGCGTTGTGGAGGTCTTCTTCCATGGCTTTTAATCTCTGATGGAAGGATTCTCTCATTTTCTGAGCCACGAAACCCAGTTCGGCTTTAACCAGCGTGCTGTCAGTAACCGACTGGATGAGATACGGAGGAAAGTCCAAGGTCTCCATCTTGCCTTCCTCCCCTTCTTCTTTGACCCTCAAGTGCTTTCTCAATTCTTCTACCTGTCTCCAGAACTCATCTTCCAACAACAGCTTCTTAGACAAGACGTCAGCCAAAGCCACAGCAGTATGGGAGATATTTGAAGGCTCCAATAAGACTGTCTCCAGAGTGGCATGAATCTCTCCAAGAGCTACTGAGATCTTTGAAGAGGCATCTGTCAGAGACTCTGCTATCTGGTTGATTAAACAAGCTTCAAAAGCCACCCTCCTGGACAGCAACTTCAGCTGTTCTTCTACAGAAAATTCCAGCTGTTGGTTCCCTTGGGGAGAAGAAGCGTTGTTCTCATCCCAGCAGATGTCTGTAGCCTGCAAAGCTTGGACTGCCAGATGTTCCCCTGGTTGGTGTTCAGCAGGGGGAAGTGCCTTTTGCAACATCTGGATTGCATCCATTAAAGTGCTTTCAATGCTGGACAGAGCATCCAAGAACATCTCTCCCTCTTTTCCTTTATCAGAGGTGCCCACACGTTTTAGTTCTTCTCTGCGCTGATTTAGGCACATTAATGCTCGGCTGGTCTTTTCATGGAGCTTGCCCAGCTCATGGATGTGGTTCTCATTCAGCTTGAGTTTTTCTTCCTTCTCGCTCTCTACCTGGGACACCAACTCTCTAATTTGAGCCAAGCTGTCTTGAAGCTGTTCTCTAAGCTGAGCTTCGATGCCAGACCACTGGTGGTGAAGGACCATGAGGGCGTCTTGATTTTGGCCCTGTTGACTTTCAAGTTTCATGGTTACATCTTTGAGCTTTTCTTCGGTGATGTAAAGTTTGGTTTCTAGGGAGTGAATGATAGATAAGTAGGTCTCAGAATCACCCGAGGCTGGGTAACAAAAAGCCGGTTCAGAAGTCATGCTTTCTTCCGAAAGGGACCGTTCCTGGCTTGTGTCAGAGGAAGTGCTGCTGACCCACATCTTCTCTGATCCATCAGGATGGATATATTTTTGGCACTGGATGTTGGAGAAACGTATCCGTTGTCTTTTGGCTCCTGGTATTTCCGCATCAAGTTTCGTTGAATCTTTCTGACCCATCTCTATTTCTGGAAGATCTGCCGACTTCGATGGAGAAGAACGTTCTTCAATGCTCACCACAGTAGGTCCACAGATTTGGCTCTGGATGCTACTGGGCCCTTCATGACTATCCTCAATCAGCATGCATCCCAGATCTGGGAGTCTTCTCCCTTGCTTTGGGGAATATTGTGCTGGATCTTCAACCTGGCCAATACCAGTTGCGTTTGTTGCAACCTTCAGCACAGAACTTCCTTCAGCCGATGTTTCCAAATCCTCTTCTTTGGCTGGGTAGTCTTCTTTTTCTTCTTGATTGCTACCCACAGTAGTCGGAGGTTCACGGAAGTCCTGCTCCTTTTTCTTCTCCACAAAGCTCAAATGGGTTTCTCTCACTTGTCTCAACTCCTCCTCTTTCTCTTTCAAAATCTGCTGCAAGTTATGGAACTGCTCTGACATCACCTCGTGGGAGTGCTCCAGAGCGTGGTAGCTGCTCTCCTCCAGCTGCAGCTTGGCTTGCAACTTAGCCACTTCGTTATCGGATTCTGCAACTTGGTTCATCAGCTCCTGGAATCGGCATTTAATTTGATCCCTTTCCTCCTCCAGACTCTTGATATGTTCCACCAGCTTCCGGATGCTGGCTTCTTTCATTTCTAGATGATCCTCCAGTTGATGGACCAGTTCGCTGCTTTCAAACTTGGCGCTCAGCTTCTCCTTCAGAAGGATCTCCTTCTGTTGCTCATTGTTCTGAAGCTGGTTCTCGTATTCGCTGGCTTTATCCTCCGCTTCTTTGAGGCTCTGGATCAAGATCTGCTTCTCCCTCTCACAGCTTTCTAGCAACGACTCGTAATTCTTCTGGAGCTTCTTCTCCATCAGCATTCGGGATTGTTCTCCGGCGCTCAGCTGCAGGCTCAGGTCGGCGATGCGATCCTGGAGACGTTGGACTTCTTTCTGGTAGTCTCTCTGCAAAGCCTGTTGCATCTCTAAATCTCTCAGCTCTTGGGTCTTCTCCAGCAGGAGCGCTTCTGCCTTCTTCAGCTTCTGCTCGCTAGCCTTCAGCTGGGAATTCAGGGTCGTTTCACTGTGCTGCCATTCCTCCATCTGCTCCTCGGTCTTCTTCTTCTCGGCCTTCAGGTCGCTCTTCAGCTTGGCCAAGGTCTGCTCCTTGATGGAGAGGTCGGCAGCCGCATTGCTGAGCCTGGCTTGCAAGCTCTGGATCTCCGCTTCATGATGTCGGATGACGTCCTTAGCCTCCCCATAGCTACGTTTGAGCGACTGGATCTGCTGATTGATCATCTCCTGCCGCTGGCATTGGGCTTCCAATTCGCCCTGGAGATCTTTGTTGACTTTATGGAGCCTCTCCCAGGCCCCTGAGGAAGAGGAGGAGGAGGAGGAGGAAGAGGAGGAGGCCACTTCAGTCTTTAAAAGAAAATTAATTGAATAGAAAATTAGTAGCATTCTTGGTGCCCGGTTCTGAGTGTCACATCTCTGGTTAGGTTTAAGGCCACAGAACGCGTTGAATGGCTTTGTTCATTCCCTTTCAGCTCCAATTCGAATTGCTCTCCTGGTTTGTTTCGTTTTTTGGTTTTTCAAAAGCGGCCAGAAACAAACACCCCCCCCCCCCATTTTTTTGTTTCAAGGGTAACAGGGAGAACATCTTCCAACTTTAACAGACAGCATGGATGATAAAACACCACAACAGGTTGTACACAAAAGACCCTGAAAGAAACAACTTGAATAAACCAAAAGGGAGGGGGGGAAAACAATGGACACCAGGGAAAATAATGGCGTAAAAGACAAGTAAAGGAGAGATTGGAGAGAGAATGAAAACGGAAGGGGTGAGAGGGAGGACCCAACGGTACGCTAGGAATCAGCAAGCAACTTCACAAAGACAAATCTCACCTTTGGGGTTCAAAGCTGAGCTAGAAATGGGAGCCAGAATTGGGCCCTCTCTGTGGAATTCCTCCTAGATCCAGTTGATTCCACCCCCACCCTACTGGTGTTTCGAGGGACCTTGGAGAGGTGGATCCGCACCCAGATCTTTGGGAATGGTGACCGAGCCCCGTTTGATTGTGTGAGTTTGGTGAGTTTTCCTGTCTGGTTTGCTGTCCTTCACTGCTGTTTATTAGGACCTCATTTTATATCCTTTGAATGTTGTCACTTGTGAACCACCCCAAGTTGTTGGGAGTTGGACAGTATGCAAATTTTTAATTAACATTAATAAAACAATCTATTTTGTTCTGGGATTGTGTCTCTGTCAAAGTTCTCTCAAACTTTCAGGACAGGGTGAGCTCTGAGCTGCTCTGCCCGGTGGCAGCTGAGTTGTTTTTCCTGGCACCCAGATTTCAATCTAGTGTTTTTTGCAAATAAACAATAACACCAAACTTCATCTAATACGAACCAGGAAACCCACAAAACCCACACACCTGTCCCTTCCCCTCTTCCCTTTGCTGCAGCTGGCCACAACTGCCCCGCCCAACTCCTTCCTGCCCTAAATTTTAGAGGAATAAAATAGCATTTGATGCTTTACGTTCCTAGAAAAAACAAGGTGGGAATGAAATGTTGATGTTGAGGTTCTAGGTCTACCTAAACTTCGTTCTGCCTGCCATGTCCAGAGAAGTAGGGTGGAAGGACAGAGGTAAGATGAAAACAAAAGGTCCAAAGGAAACAGTCCTTTAAAGAGATGCGAAAGAAAAACATGATTCATGCGCAGAGAAAGAGTGTACAGAGATTCGTGCAATGGTTGGGAAAGAAGGCCACATGGTATGGAGAAGACAACAGACAGGACAAGCCCAGCGTTCAGCCTAATCACCAGCCCTGCCTCGCTGTCCTGGGATGGCTGCAAGGGACAGCCCACAGATGTGACACTCAGATCCATGCTTTCACAGCAGAACAATCCCCCATGCACGGTGCCCTGTCCCCAAGGAAGATTAGTAGAACCAGCTCCCCAAACTTTCCCCCAAAAGGAGCTAGTTGTCTGGCGAGAAGCAAGGGGGAAAAAACCCAGTCATGCGCCATTGTTGTTAAAAATGAAGAGCGCAGTCAGGCTCGAGGCAAGAGAAAGTTGTATTGCGACAGATTCAGTAGGGCTCCAAGTACGACATGCGTGCAACCTGGCTCTAGACAGATCTCAAGGACTCAATGGGAGGAAAACCTGCAACGTGGACACCATGAATTGGGAAAGAGAGAGAGAGAGAAAGAAAGAAAGAAGGCTAAAAACGTATTATTGTGGGTCATCAAGCTCGTCGCAAGCTTCAGATTTGGACTTTGCCTTCTGGATGGCCCAGCAAGCTTTTTTTAAAAAAAAGGAAAAAAGGAGAAATATGCAGCCAATATCACTAGTTTGTCAACAACACAATTCAGGTTTTTGACCAGTGATTTGGGTCTACATTCTAAAAACTTTTAGCGTTTTAAACAAAGGGATTTGGGGCCAGAGGCCATCACGAACCACTCCAAGTTAATGAGATTAGGACTGTTCTGAGCCAGAATTCACAACCCTCCATTTCTAGGGTCGTCCTGCTAAGAGAAGTTTCAACTTTCAGTCGTTTCAGGATGGGGAAAAAAAACCCAAAAAAAGTTAGAAATATTATTATCATTTGACTTGGGGGACACGTCATAAATAGGAGTCAGTTGCCAAGCCTTTGAGTTCTGATCACATGACCACGGGGATGGCTGCAACGGTCGTAAGGTGGGAAAAACGCTCATATGAAATTTTTCAACGGTCACGAAATGAACTGTTGTAAGTCAAAGAGTCCTTGTATTTCACCTCACTGAAGCTTCTGGATGCTGTGGCCATTGTCCCCCAGGACATAACTCAGGACTCTGGCACAACCCGCTCATCACATATACTGTAATGAAAGGGGAGGCCTTGTGAAGAGGGGAAGCCTAAAATCCACTGACCCCGTCACGCCTCGCTCTCAGCAGATAAAAGGCCTGGCCAACGTCCTCTGGAAATCTAGGCCCCTTTGCAAGCATCCCGGACTGAAGCCCCAATGGACAAAGCCCAGCTGACCCCCTGAGGCAGAGCTCCGGGTCTCCTCCTACCTGCAGGACGTAACCTTCCCGAGCACTTTGTTCACGTCCCAAAGCTACTTTGAGCTGGTCTTGTAGGACACGGTTCTGTTCCAAGAGCTCCGAAGCTGCCTTTTGACTCTGTTCCAGCTGAAAGTGAAACAGGGAAGGTGTTAAACAAGGGTGGGGGGGGGTGGGGGGGGGACCCAAAGATCATCAAGTCTAGACCGTGGTTGGAGCCTGTATTTGCAATAAGGAAAACCAACTTGGTCGGACGGCTGCCTGGCCCAAGAGCTTCCAACCTGAACTAAAGTGAACACGTTTCCAAGATGGGAAGTGGGAAGCAGCAGGTCTTCTTGATCTCTTCACAACTGACCATGAGTAGTGACTTTGCCACTAGGGTCTCCAGGGGTCCTTCCTTCCCTCATTCATTCATTCATTCATTCATTCATTCATTCTCCTTCCTTCCTTCCCTCCAGTTTTACTTCCTACCCTCCCTTCAAGTTTTTCTTTTTTCCTTCCTTCC